GTCAGAGGGAGAAGCAGACTCCCTGCCGAGCAGGGAGCCCGATGCGGAACTCGATCCCGGGACTCCAGGATCATGACCTGAGCCGAAGGCAGTCGCTTAACCAACTGAGCCACCCAGGCGCCCCTCTCACTCATTTTATTTAAATGAGGCAAGTAGAAATATTGATAGCAGACTGAATAAGAGCCATAGAAGAACAAACTGTTAGACCAGTCACATATGATCATAGATCTGAACACCCTACATACAATGTCATATTGAATCTAGCTGTGTATGAAAGCAAAAATGACCAAGCGGGATTGATTCCAGGAATGTGAGGATGTGTCAATATTAGAAAAGCTCACAGTGTTACACAGTAAGCAAATCCTATGAAACTGACATTTTTGTAGGTCAAAACTGGTCACATATTGGCAACTTCATGTGGTTCAACCTAATACCCTATAAACAGATTAGAAGCCAAAAATACGTAATCCTCCCAGTACACCCCAAAACATCACATGATGAGATTCAGTACTCATTCATGATTTTAAAATATCTCAAAACTACGAAGAGAACTTTATTAATCTGATAAAAAGCTCCTACCAACACCTATAGCAAACATTATTCTTAGTAACAGAACTTCCTAAGGTTCCCAGTACAATCGGGAGCAAGACCAGAGTTGTGTATCACAGTAGTATTCAACATTTTGCTGCAGATCCAAGCCGTTACAATCAGATCAAAGAAAGAAGACAGAAACTATAAAAATTAGAGAGGAATATATAAAATTGTCTCTTCTATTTAGAAAATACAGAAGAATTGACGGATTAACCAACAGAAACAATAAGACAATTCAGCAAAGTGGCTGATGTGTCTACAACCAACTAAAACATAATCAGAAAAAAAAAAGGATCTCATTCATAATAGAAGCAAAACCTATAAAACACCTAGGAATAAGTCTTAAAAATGTGCATAATCTTTAGCGGAAAAACTATGAAATTTTATTTTGAAGGACATAAAACCGAAATGCAGGGAGGTTTCATATTCATGGATAAACAAAGGATATGAACAAGAAATTCACATAAGAGGAAAGTAGAATTATGGATGAACACATGAAAAGATGCTCAACCTCAGTGACAACCAAAGACATACAAATTAAAACAAGATACCATTTCACACCCATCAAATTGGGAAAAATTAGAATGCCTGAAAATACCAAGTGTTGGCAAAGATACAAAACAATGAAAGCTGTCATACAGTGTCAGTGAGAGATTAAATTTGCATTACTCTTTGGACAGCAATCTGGCAATATCTAACGAAGTTGAGGATTCCCCTTCCCAGCAACCAGCTTCTCCATTGGAGGCATATGCCCTAGAGTAACTCAAGCATGGGTGCAAACAGACATGTAGCAGTATCCGTGGGAATGTTTGCATTGTTTGTAACTGTGTGGACAAAGCTGTTAGTGTAGTTACTCTTAAATCACTGAACTGTCATATCAGATGTAACGGTACATGTGCATCAAAATATCAAGTTGTACACCTTAATTATATACAATTTTTATTTGTCAATTATACTGCAACAAACATGAAAAAAATAAAAATATCTAATAGAGCAAGAAGAAAGAAAGAAGGTTCAGTGTAACAGATGTGTATGGATTGTCTTGGATTTCTCAGAGACCAGTCCATCCCAGTATATAATGAGGAACTGGACCATCAAAGCATTCTTATAGACAAGCAGTATCCTGTTAGAAAATAAATGTAGACAATGGCCCAATTCCCAATTGCAATAAAAAATATAAAAATACCCAAAAATAAATACAGAATTTTACTAAGAGACATACAAAACAACTTGATTAAATAGAGCCAGATGCCAAAAAGTGAGTAAGAAGATTCAATATCATGTAGATGGATTTTTTCTCTTACTAACCCATACCTATGATGTTAATCAGTCAGAATTACACAAGTTGTTTGGGGTTTTTCTTGGCAGGGGGAACAGGAGGTGTCTTTTATTTTTTAATTTAAGGATGTTCATCTTGAGTTTATCTAGCAAAATAAACAAGGGAGAATAAATTTTTTAAGTTAAAAGAAGGACAAATGAGAGAGGACTTTCCCTATTAAATATTTAAGTATATTATAAAGCTATGATAACTAAAATGGTATGGGTCATGCACAGGAAAAGACAAATAGGTAGCAAATAGAAATAGAATAGAAAGTTGATAAACAAAACCAAATGTATATAATGTGATATATATGTGATAAAGGTGAATTTAAAATTGGTGGTGGATGGAATATTTATAGCGTTTGGTTAAATGGCTAATCAATCAAGGAGAAAAAAGTAGACTCTTATCTCCTATCATATGCCTAAATAAATTCCAGGTGGACTTAAAGACAAAAGTACTAGAAGAAAACGTTGGTTTATTTAATTATCATACTTTTATTGAATGCCTCTTATCTGCCTGGGCACACATTCTGGACAATGATGTGTGAGTAAGTATAGTGTGGGTTGGTTTAATTTTATGATGAAAATTCCTTAAGTTATTTAAATGCCATTGGGGAAAAATATTTAATGCTTAAAAAATGTGCACATTATATTAAGTGAAAGATCAGGTTATGATATAGTATTTATAGTTGGATCTTGTTTTTATATAAAAAAATAAAGAAATAAATATATATAAGGAAAAGCATGCATAGAACAAAGCCTGGAAAGATAGTCACCAAAATGTTGTGAGTGCTGAAAGTTGTTTTTATCTTCTGTGTGCTCTTCTGTTTTATAAGTTTTCTGCAATGAATATTTTATCATAATGACACATTATGAACATTTTTGTCCTTAATGAGTTAGAATGAATTATGCTTGGAAATTAAGGAAATAATCTTGTTCCCACTATACTTTTATTAATTAACAACAATCTCTTGACATCATCATATATCCAATGAATGTTCAAGTTTCCAATTATCTTATAAATGTTCTAATATTTTTTTAAATTTACAGTTTTTTGAATCCGGGTCCAGATAAGGCCCGTACATTGAATTGGTTGTCTCGTACGGTTTTTAATCAATAGGTTTCTGCCTCCATCTTTTTTTTTCCCTCCATCCCTTGTAATTTATTTGTTGAGGAAATCAGGTAACTTGCCCAATGGAATTTTTCATATTCTGGGTTTTGCCAAGCATATTCCCAGAGTATCATTTCATATATCCCTCCATCCTCTATATTTCCTGTAAGTCAAAATTGGATCCAGTGACTTGATACAATTCAGGCTTCATTTTTTTTTCTTTTTTTTTTTAACAAAATGACTCTGTAAGTAGTGGTATTCATGATATCTGGTTGTTTCTCTTATGTTTCTCCTATTGTGATGTCAGCAAGTGTTGACGATTAATGCCTTGATCAGTTCATTTCAATATGCGTTCATGGGTACAAATATTTTTATTTAGCAACTTGGATGCCCCAGTGGGCTAAACTCTTTGAACTGGTGTCATCTCTCTGTCTGTTGGAACTCCAGAATTCTCTCAATCTATCAGTGATGTGGTACATGGAATCTGGAAACAGACTTGAGGCTCCCAGGGGCCTGAGCAAGTCTCTGTAATATACAGCACTGTTAGCTTGAAGGATGGCTTCTTTTAGAAAGCTTTGCTTCATAAATAGTAGAATGGAAATATTGTTCCAATTTGCTGACAGCTGGCACCACATCGTGCGCCATGCACAAATATTCATCACCCACCCATAGATCCCATCTTTGATATTTACCAGAGCACTAGGGGGGTCCTTCACTCAATCACAACTTCTGTTGTTATTTGTACAATTATCTGGAAAGGAGCAGCAACCTCAGAACCTGGGGAGCCAGTTCATTATTCTGGTGATTGTTGTCTTTGCTAGTGCTCAGAAGTTCAGGGGACAGATGGGCGTCGGGGAAGCCAGATGCCGCACGATTCCACCCCTGGCAAGCCCAGCAGGCCCTTGCTGGAGCCCTCATTTTAGGAGGGAAGGGGCAGAGGCTGAACTTGGGGAAAGGAAAGGCACCATGACATGCTGGTCATTTTTACTCTGTGCTGCTGGATCCCGGGGGCCATGTCTAGAAGAGTAGTCAAAACAGGCCACTGCCACAGTGGGGTGGAGTTAGGCAGAAGGACAGTTGTCTCATCTGGAAGGACAGGACTGTTTAGCAATGCAGAGCTGTCGAATGCTTTCAGTATGCCTGTCCGCAGAGACAGATGGCTTGGGCCTTCAGGCGGCCCCATCCTGGCCTCCCCGGGCTGCTGAAGAGTAAGCTGGTGCCATCTGGGGGTTGGGGGACAGAGCAGAGCTCCACTGGAAAGGTTAGAACAACAAGCAGTTCCTAGAGACTGGATTCACACTGAGATGGGCTGGGCACAGAATGGCAGAGTAGAGACAGGAGGGGCTGATCACTCTCTCCGTTGCTGGCTCCCTGTGCCATCTTCCCTGCGTCTGATGCTCACGGCCCCTCCAGCAGTCAGCATTGGTGCTAAAGTCTGGGAGTGTAGGCTATGGGATGAAAAGCTGTTGTTCAAAATAAGGCCATGCTGACATCGGGTCGGGGGTCTCTCGTACATCCAGGTCTACGACGGCAACAACAACTCCGCCCGTTTGCTGGGGGTGTTCAGCCATTCGGAGATGATGGGGGTGACTTTGAACAGCACATCCAGCAGTCTGTGGCTTGATTTCATCACTGACGCTGAGAACACCAGCAAGGGCTTTGAGCTGCAATTTTCCAGTAAGTCCTTCTTGAGTCAGAGTGGACGATGAAGTCAAGCTTTCCCTGGTCCCCCAAACAGGGAGGTCGGGCTTTGGGACGTCACCCCTCATTTAAGAGGTTCGGTTTTCTCTGACTGGTGCATGCTGAGCGGACTGTTTCCTCTGAGACCTTGTGCCTGTGCTCTGGGTAAGCAGCCACTTGGTATCCGCTCTAAGGTTTACATCTATGGTTAACTGAGAGTCACGCATACCTGTTACTCACTAATACTTCCAAAATATAAACACTGAGGCTTTTAACTAAAGCAACCAAAGCCTTTCCTAATCACAGCATTTATAAAATAAGGTTCAGCTACAGCCAGATGTAAAACATGCAAATGCTAATGTGTAATTATGTTCTTTTGCACTACTCCCTAAAGACTTCGGTCTTGATTCTTTCCCTTTTTCGTGGTTTTAGTTTGACTTTTACTCCCAAGATTTCAAAAACGGAAAGCAGCCCCGGGGTACTTGGGATTACATCTCCACACCTGGGCTTCACAGCCCTTGTGTTCATTGATTTGAGCTCCTGTACTTGCCCAGGAGATGCCAAGAAATGTGCTTTTCTAGGTTATTTTAAAATCCAATGGGTATCCATCAGCTGATAAATGGCTAAACAAAATGTGATGTACCCATCTGTACAATGGAATGTTATTCAGCTGTCAAAAAGGAATGAAGCGCTGATCCATGCAACACCATGGATGAGCCTTGAAAACACTGCTGAGTGAAGGAAGCCAATCACAAAGGCCATGTGTTATATGATCTATTTATATGAACTGTCCGGAGTAGGCACATCCATAGAGACAGAGAGGAAATTTTGGTGGCCAAGGGCAAGGGGGGGTGTGTATAGGGTTTCTCTAGAAGTGATGAAAAGACCCTAAGGTTGATTGTGAAGATAGTTGCACACCTCTGCGAATATACTAAAAGACAGTGCATCAAACACTTCAGATGGGCAAGTGTTCGGTATGTGAATTCTATCTCAATAAAGCTGTTAGAAAACCAGTGAATCCACCCAAGATTCCTCTTGCCTGGGCTCTAGGCCATCTGGCCTAAGCGTCTATGCCTGGTACAGCAGGCCCATCATGGGAAGAGGATTGAATAAAGTGGCATGCGAGTTCCATCTCCATCGTCTGAGAATGTGTGACTTTGGAACCATTTATTGAACCAGACAGTGTTCTCGGTCATTACCCCTCCCTACAAGACCGCTGTGGATAAGAAACGTGAAGCGCCCTATAGCAGGTGCTCTGTGGAGACGTTCTGCATAAGCCTTCTCCAGACTTTCTCAATAGACTGTATTTAAACAGGACGTAATTGAACTTTGAAACATGCATTTGAAGTGACGTTTCCCTATTACACGATCCCATCAGAATGTCTCAGCGAGCCAAATGCAAAGAGCAGCCCTGCTAACAAAATGCTCTGGGGGTCAAACAAAGGAAATAGAAAACCCAGACCCTGTGTCTGAAAACTATTAAAAGCTGTCCTGGGAGAAAGAGCTGAAGCCATTTCCACGCCGCAGCCGGGAGCGAATCCTGCACGCTGCACCTCTCCTGAGCACAGCCACGTGGGGCCCCCCCGAGCAGTGAGACCAGCGGAAGCCAGGAGCACGTGCCTGGTGGCTTCCGTGAGGACATGGGCTTCACACTGAGGGAGGAAAGGGCATGTGGCTTCTGCCACGCCGGGTCTTGCTTACCCTCTCTCTCCTCTCTTCGGCAGGTTTTGAACTCATCAAGTGTGAGGATCCAGGAACTCCCCAGTTTGGCTACAAGGTTCAGGATGGAGGCCATTTTGCAGGAAGCTCTGTGTCCTTCAGCTGTGACCCTGGATACAGCCTGCGGGGCAGTGAGGAGCTGCTGTGTCTGAGTGGGGAGCGCAGGACCTGGGACCGGCCTCTCCCCACCTGTGTCGGTAGGAGGCCTCTTGCTCTTCGAGTGACCACTCGGGCCCCCCCCCAAGTCCCAGGCTCCCAGCTCTGGTCTCGAGAAGGCTCTCCCGTTGGACCCCATGCTCCAGCACTTGGGGCTGCCTAACTGGACTGAGCGCCGCTGTTCACAGGAGCCAACCCTCGCCCTGCCCCCCTTCTCCGTTCGCTCACTTTCACACCTCATTAGGCCCATGCAGCAGCACACTCAGGCAGGGGGCTTGCCACTGTCACGTGTTGAGCCAAGTGGGACCACAGCCAAGTCATGCCCTCAGAATTGTAATGCTGGTGACAGAGAAGAGGGAGGAGCGTCAAGTAGGAAGAGGTGGAGCATTTGCCTGGGTTCCAAAGGTTCCTGCAGCACCCAGACTCAAACAAGCCTCCGACTCCCTCTGGGCCTCAGTTTCCCCATAGGCAAAATGGGGTTTATGCCCCCTTTTCTGGGGGAAGTTGGAAGAAAGAGTAAGATAATGAGCTAGCATCTCTCTCATTCTTGAGAAAGAATATAATAATGAACCAGCACCTTCTTAAGCCTGCGGTGTTTCCAGAATGTCAGCAGAGGCTCTCTCTAAGCTTTCTCCATGTGTCATAGGATGAGAGAAGCCTGGTCCAAGGCAGGAGTATGAAGTAGGCAGAACCTGTCATTCCGTCGGTCTGGCCTTTTCCTCTCTCACCACCCACCTCACTGCATCTCTTACCCTCCCTGCTGATCAAGATTCCCACCACCCTGCTTTGTCCTGCTTCCCCATCGCCAAACACCAGGCCTTTCCCTCCATCCCCTTCCCCTGGTGCCACAACCTCAGCATGTTTGCTGTACAGCACCAGCTAATCTTGTAAGAACAAAACATCCACTGGGAAAACATTTAAGTACCTACCAAGCGCCACACACCAGAATTGGTGCAGTTATATGTTTGGGTATGTGCAGAAGCAGAGAAATACAAAAAAGAAAGAATAAAGCATTTTCCCCTGCCCTTGGGGAGCCTATAGCCTAGCAAGGCAAATAGACACATAAACAGATAATTATAATACAAGATAAGCACCATGCAAAGACTTATGGGCAAAGTGTTGGGGAAATATGAGGAAAGGAAGGGTAAGAATTTACCAGCAGGAGGGGAGGATGGGGGCTGGGCTTCTAGCCTGAGCATGTGTGAGGGCTGGAGGGGTGAACCAGCATGGTGGGCAGTGGTAATGGCCAATATTCTTTTCCCCTAGACAGCTCCATGTTAACAGAATCTTCAACCCTGTTACAGAACAGAGGGCCTGAAGGAGAGGATTTTAAGCCTGACAGTGGACAAACCAGCATGGCGACCTCTAAGTAGCCTATAGAGACTTCCCCACCCTCTGAGCTTAAGATCGGTTCAGTCTGCAGGCATGCCCCATCCCTTTCTCCCTGCATCCCTGTTTTTATCCCCTGCTTTCATTCATGTGCCAGGCCCTATGCCCTGACAAGGGCAGATCCCAGGCCAGCAAGGGGGACACATGCGTAAACAGACGACAGTGTAATACCACAGGCAAGCTAGAGCAAGTGAAATAGGAAGGAGATGATTCACGTTACAAGACAGTTACCTCCTTTGCAGGAAGGATTCACTGTGAGGTTCTTTTGAATATCAAATGTGCCAGTTGGGCTGAACTTAGCAGATCCACTCAAGCAGTGCTAGTAAGGGTACTTATATTTTGAACCTTGGGGGTTTTCCCCACTGAGACTCCCTCAGGCCCCACATAGAGGAGTGAAGCTGTGTATCTGGGGTGGCAGGTGTATATTTTTACATATGTCATGTTGTGGTGGACTTTATCACAGTCTAGCAGGAATGACCACTGTACCTTAAAATAACCCAAGGCTTTCTTCATTGATGAGTGGACACTGCAGCCCAATTGAAGCAGCCAAGACTCTAAGGATGGGACGAAGGGCAAAGAGCAGAAAGAGTAGAGTCTTCTGGTCTTATCAATGCATCTGCACCTTGCTGGCCTCTGGGCTCCTCCCACCCACGTGCCAGCCCCTAGATGTTAGGTCCGGGAGGAAAGGAACAGTAGTGTCTGTAAGGAAGAGCCCTCCCCCGCCATGCTGCCTCCAAACACTCACCTTTAGGGAAGCAGGAGGGGCTTCTCCATCTGGAATATGGAAGAAAGCTCTAGCCAACAGCACGGATAATGTTCTGCCACCTCTCCACTACCACCATTATTTGTGGGGCCAGATAGGCTTTCTTCCCCCAGCTCACGGCCCGTCCTCTTGCCCACACCCATTCTTCAACGTGGCCCATTCAGCCCTGAGTCCTTCAAGCACCTCCTGTCCCAAAAGCACACTGAGGGGACTCGTGACAAGGCGGGAGCAAAGGATCCGGTCTCAGGAGAGTGCCTCCTTCCTAACCCTGCCATAGTGCTCCCCTGTGAAGCCATGGGGCTCTTGAGATGCTTAACGAAGGTGAAGGCCAATCTTCTACCTGTGACCTCGATCCCGTCTTCTTCAGTTTCTTCTAAGGATTTTGCTCAATCATCCCCTTTCCTAAAAAACTCCACAATAAATCTCCTGCTCTTCAGTTTCACTCATGCTCCCTTGACTCAGACCCTCATAGTAATTTTCCTGGGAAGCAGTAAGTGTCACTTATTCATCTGATCCTCCACGTATCTCCCCATTCAGTAAACACTTACTAAAACGTCTGTGACGTGCCAGGCACTACAGCGGCACTGGGTGTGCAAATAGGAGTAGGACGAGGTGCTGCCAAGGCGTTTGGAGTCTTGTGAAGACTAACATGACTGTCACACGGTACATGTGTTGTGATAAAAACCTGCTCATGTTATAACAGAGACACAAGGGAGGACAGCAGCAACTCTACCTGGGAGGGGAGAGGCCATGAAAGGTTCCCCAGGGAAGATGTTTTCAGGCTGTCAGTCCATGTGGACACATGAAGAGGCCTCGTGTTCCTGGCTCATAGCATTCATGAGGCTTGACTGGACCGAGGGCTGTCAGGAAGGGGCCCAAGAGGCCAAAGGGAGCCCCTCTGGGGCTTGGACTTCATTCCAGGAAGGAAGGTTTGAAGCAAGCAGTGACCCAGTCAGTTTGCATTCTAGAAAGATCCATCTCGTGGCACTGCTGGGGGGAGAGTGGGCAACTGTGCCGCCCTAGAGATGGCCAGGGCCTAGGCCAAGACTCTAGCAATGGGGCCGAGGGGCATCGATGTAACAGATGCCCCAGAGGTTCAGGGTCTGGGTCTCAGAGGCAGATCAGACATGGGGAGGAAGAAGGCCAGAGGATCAGCAGCTTCTGACCTGGGTGACTAGGTGCTCCAACGGGGCGTGTAGACCTTTGCACTGTTCCCCTGCCTCCAGTTCCTCCTTTTCCATTCCTCCGTGCCCTTAAGGCTGCTCCCAGAGCATGTAAAGTTCACTAGCATATAAGGTGACCAGTTCTTCCCCAACAGAGTACATAGACACTAGCTTCATGCACGGCGCCCTTGGACATCCGATGCTGCGCCAACTTCACAGCCCTGTCTCTCACCCCCGTCTCCTCCCCTGGCCTCCGTCCACCACGCTGTTGCCCACTGCCAGGACATCTGCCCTTTCCCCTCTCTCCTGCTGTGCCCCCTACACCAGCCCTACCCCCCAGCCAGCCCGGTCCACTCCTGCTCCTCCTTCACGACTCCCCTACCCCGTGTGAGGGGAGCTCCTCTGAGCTGTCACCTACCACCAGTGCGCCTCTGTTGGGACCCACGGTGGCTGTCTCCTCCTCTAGACCGTTAGCTCTCGGGAGGAAGGATGCAGTGTCTTGCTTGCCTCCGCATCCCTGGCACCCCATACAGGCCCCGTGGCTGAAGACACAGGTTCAAGTGTCTGCACATGGCCAGGGAGGCTTCAAGGAGTTTGGGCGCGGAGTAGGCTGTCAGCCATCCACCCAGGGACCTTTGTAAAAATGGCTTTATTGAGATACAATTCACGTCCCTTACACTTCACCCCTTTAAAATGTACAATTCAGGGCTTTTTGGTTTATTCCCAGGGCTTTGCAACTGTCACCACATGGGATTTTTGAACATCTTGTCCACCCAAAAGAAGCCCTGCACCCATTAGCAATCCCTCCCACCTGCCCACTCCCTCCAGGCCCTGGCTACCTCCACTGTACTTTCTGTCTCTATAGATTGTTCTGGCCTAGACATTTTATATAAACCAAATCATATAATACGTGGCCTTTTGAGTGTGACTTGTTTAACTTAGCATCATGTTTTCAAGTCCATGCCTGTTGTAGCAGGTACAAGTCCTTCACCCTTTTTTATGATCAAATACTATTCCGTTGTATGGATTACACCATATTTGTCTACCCATCCATCGGCTGATGGACATTGGGTTGTTTCCATCTTTGGGCTATTATGCATCATACTGCTGTGAGCATTTTTTTTTTCCATTTTTTGAAAATTTATTTATTTATTTTAGAGAAAGAGAGAGAGAGAGCAGGGGGGATGGGGAGAAGGAAGGGAGAGAGAGTCCCAAGCAGACTCTGTGCTAAGCTGCTGTGAGCATTTTTGTGTGAACGTATGCTTTCGTTCTCCTGGGTCTGTGCTGCTCGTGGAATTGCACAGTCCTATGGTGACTACGTGCAACATTTTGAGGAACTATGAACCCGTTTCCCAAAGCAGCTGCCCCCTGTTGCCTTCCTACCAGCACACGTGTACGGGTCCCAGTTTCTCCACATCCTCACCGACTTTCCTGTCTGGCTTTTTGACTGCAGCCATCCTTGTGGACATGAGGCGTGTCTCACTGTGGTTTTCATTTGCATTTCCCTGATGACTAATGACGTTGAGCAGCTTTTCGTGTGCTCGCTGGCCATTTGCATACCTTCTTTGAAGAAGTGTCTGTTCAGATGCTTTGCCCATTGTTTAATTGGGCTGTTTACCTTTTCGTTGTTAAGTTGTAGGGGTTCTTTGTAGATTGTGGATACAAGTTCCATCCGGGGGCCTTTCTGTGTGCTGTGCTCAGTTACCTGAAGGGAACAAGAAGGGCTTGGGCACACTGACAAGAGGAGCCACTGAGTCACCACTGGGCATGCAGGCCACCCCATAAAGCTCACTTTTTTGGGATTTCTTGCAGCTGAGTGTGGAGGGACAGTGAAAGGAGAAGTGTCGGGGCAGGTGCTATCACCCGGGTATCCGGCTCCCTATGAACACAATCTCAACTGCATCTGGACCATCGAGGCTGATGCTGGTTGCACCATCGGGTAAGTGTCACGGCTGACAAAGTCACTGCTTGCTGGCCATTCGGGTGAGTCGTCGCCGGGCCACTCAGCCAGTGGCTGGCCCTGCTCACTTCACCTGGAGGCCCTTGTGATCAGCAGTGGTCGCTGTGACCCCAGGCTCGGGCTGGGGCCCAAGGAAAACCTGGAGAGGCCAGTCTGGGCCTCACAGGGCTGCTGTCCAGGTTCAGACAACTCTGGCCTCGGTAGCACAGTCACGGCAGAGTAGCTGAGGGCAGAGCTGGAGGTCATACGGACCCCAGCAGGAATCCCAGCCCTGCCACCTGCTGTTTGCAAGACTTCGGGCACAGCCCTTATTTGCTATTACAGTAGCAGCGTCTCGGGGGAAAGCACTAAATGGGACAGCAACGCGCCCAGCATCGTACTGGGAACATAGTAAATGCCTAGGAACACTTCTGTGGTTATTTCTCGAACAGTAGTGTCAGCTCAGAGTGGTATGATCCCAGATTGTTTCCTGTTCTCAGTCTGAGTGTCCTCATCTGTAAAGTGAGGGCAAAAATGCTGGTATTTGATGGTTGCAGAGGGAGTAATTACAAAAGCCCAGCAGTGTCTGATACTTCATACACACTCCCTCAAAATATAACTTCCTTTCCATACTAGCATCTGACCAGCAGGATTTATTTCCGAGGGTTCCAGAAAGTCAGAGAAGAAAGGAACGTCACCATTTACCCAGCACAGGGCCTGGCACATCTATCCTCTTATCAGTTCTTCACTAATAGTAAGTTCTAATAATAAATAGACATTACTCTTGGTCCCATTTTATAGATGAGAACACTGAGATCCCAAGGGAATGCATAGTGTGTCTCAGTTCGCACAGTGAGTCCCATAGAAAGCTGGACTGTGAACCCAGGTTTTTCTGAATCTTCGCACTATTCACACTGCTGGCAAAGTTGGGTCTTGCTTGATCTGTGGTTCAGAAGAGCTGTGAGGAAAGGAGCAGGTTGGGGTGGCAGGATGAGCAGAGGTCTGGAAGGAGGATCGAAAAGGCAATTGGAGAGGAGACAGAGTCTGGCTGGAGAGGGGGAGGCATGTGGACAAGGAATGAGAGGTAGAGAGGGTTGAAGTATGGCATGGTCATGGAAGATCTTAAATGCCAGCAGAACAGAGGGAGCCATGGTAGGTTCTTGAGCAGGGTTGTCCCACCAGGGTCGTTTACAGTGGAGAGAGCTCACGGGAATAAAACTGGTCAGAAGTCTATCACAGTGACCCAGGAATGAAATGTTGAGGATTTGCAATAGTGGGGAGCCAAGGCACGGAGAAGTGTAGCTAGAGAAGATTCTGCCCTAGAGGGTTTTCAGTTAAAGGGAATGGATGGAATGGATACCTTGCTGCAAGAGATACAGACATTTGTGTTTTTGCTGGTGTACACAGACGGGTCCTTAGACTCAGTTCAATTACAATTAAAGAAATGCATTAAGTGTTTGCTATGTGCACGTTTTTGAGCCAAGCCCTGTGCAAAATGAGGTCAGCAGAGCTCTTAGGGGTTTTGCACTATTAGGGGGACAAGTTAAATATACAAATTCATCCTGCACACCGCTGCTGGAGTAAGCTTCTGGAAGCACTCCTGACCAGCTCACCTGCTAATTGGAAACCTTCCATGACACCCACGCTCACAGAAGCTAAACATCTTATCCTGGTTTTCAAGGCCCTCGTGACCTCAACCTACCTGCCCAACCTTATTTCCCACCCCTTCACTCCAGGGAAGTGAAGGGACACTCCAGCAGAGCTGAGCGACTGGTGGCTCCTGTGCATGTCCAAGCTCATGGCCTCAGTGGGGCCCTCATGGGGAATGAATGAATGAATGAAGCAGGACTCGGGTCCAAAAGGGGATCATATGACTAGTAGATCCATGATAGTCCCTCAGTAAGTGTTAAGCGAGCAATGTGTGAATCAGGAGCATAACGATTCTTCCACGGTAATGTGCATGTATGCAAATCAGGAGGCTTTCCTGCTTCCCTGCCTTGGAGCATCGCTCACTCATTCGTTCATTGATTCATGTAAAAACCACCTGTCTGTTGAACATGTGGCATTGTCTGGGCGAGGTGCTGGCGTCACATACGTGATCGAGACCCGGGCACCCGGGTTGGCAAAGGGGAGATGTGTGCAGACATACAGGGAGGTGGAGGGATAGGGAGGGGCGGGGAGCAAAAGGCAGGACAGAAGACCAGAGATGCTCTCCTGACAGAGGTGACACAAGAGCTGAAGGATGGAGAGGACGTTGCCAGGTAGCCGGAGGAAGGTCGGCAGGAGGGGAAGTGACACGGTGTGGTCAGGCACAAGGCCCGGAGCATCAGCTGTGATCTAGTAGCAAGGGGCCGTGGCGGGAGGTAAAGCTGGTGGAGCAGGCTGTGGCCAGAGGGTCAAGGTCAAGGACTGGGTTTGGACCCATCCTGGCCTGAGATGCTGGGTTTGGACCCATCCTGGCAGCCTCATGGAGAATGGGGCAGCCTGGGGCAGGGAGTCCGAGGAGGAGGCTGCGCCAGATCGTAGTCGGGATGAGGAGCCGGAACCTGAGCAGCGGTAGTAGGGGTGGACAAGAAGGGAAAAATTCAGGAAACACTGAAGTGGTCACACCAGTGGTCTCACTCTCAGTAAATAGGGAAAGTGCGGCTTCTTCTGTTTCCCTGGGTTTTGTTGCATAACACACAATGTGTAACATACACAGAAAAGTTGAAAGAACAGCACATGAGCACCTGCACACCTACCACCTAGACTCAGCCATTATGAATATTTTGCCATATTTGCATTCTCTCTTATTTCCTTTTTGCTGAATCACTCAAGAGTACATTGTGGACATCATGGTACTCCAGTCCTAAGTACTTGGGCAAGCATCTTCTCAAGCGGAGGAGGTGCTCCTCCACAACAGAGTGACATTAGCATACCTGAGACAGGCAGCAATATCCCCGGAAGGAAGGTTTAAGACAAGGGCCAGAGGAGAGCAAAGGGATCTAGGAGAAGCTGACAGGCGAGCACAAGAAATGGATGATGGAATTTCTGGGCAGGGGTGAGGACCATTGTCACTTATGGTAATGGTGAGCATGGGGTGAGCCGGAAGGGAGCCAGGAGGACCTCTTCATGGCCCTCAGGAGGAGAAGATCAAGACAGGGCCACCAACTATCCTCTGCAGGGTGACGCAGCAAGGACTATAAAGTCATGGGGACTGCTGAATGTGTGTGCGAGGCCCCCACAATGGGGAACAGCAGGCAGAAGGTGAAGGGAGCTTCCGTCCTCCCTCTGGAAGGTTCTGGCAGCCTCAGAGCCTCAAAGGAGCTGATGCCAAGGGAGCAGAAGGGGGCTTCCAGCTACACTGAGAGCAGCTGAAAGATGGAGATGAGCCACAGGACACCTTTCCCTTTCTCGCCCAGTGCCCCAGCCCAGCTGGCCTTCCCAGACAGTGTGTGTGGTGTCCAGACGCACATCTGTGCTCATGCCTGGTCTCTCTCTCTCTCTCCTCTCTCTTCCTCCTTCTCCCTCCTTCCCTCCTTCCCTGTTTCTCTCTCTCCCTCTCTTCCTCCCCTTCAGTCCCCCCCACACCCCTCACTTCAATAGCCAGCAGCAAAGTTAAGGGAATTCATAATTAGACCTAATTAAGACAAACACAAAAAGCCCCGTTTGTGTTTGAGTCCTTATTCAGAGTAAGATCTGTTATTTTTTTAAAGGGGAATATCTTTATAGGATGTTTCTATATTTTAAAAAAATACACTTGTTTTAAAAACTCAAAATGCAAACAATAAAGACATTTGTAGAGATCAAAAGTCCCCTTAATCTTACTCTGGTCTCCTCCACACACCCCACAGAAGATAACGCTTGAGATCTGTTTGTTCTACTTGCTCGGCAATACATAGACCAAGCAGTTGTGGTAAACATGGTTTCTAAAACAAGATCATCTCTATGCATGGCTCAGTGACTTGCTTTTGATTTACTGTTTAATCCTCTATCATCATATTATTATGTCAATATATATAGATCAGCCTCATCCTGTTTGATGGCTACAGAGGATTCTGTTGTAGGCACAACCATAATTTATTTTTCTACTCCCCTATTAATAAAGTAAATATTTTCAGTTTTTCACTCCAGTGAACATCCTTATACATGAATCTTTGAACAGTTGTCCAATTATTTCCTTAGGATATATTTCTAAGATATATATATATCTTAGAAGGCAAATTTTAATATATGACCTCAGATTTCCCTCTTGTTACTGCAGCAATTTACACATCCACCAAAAGCCTGCCTCCCCACACAGAATCACGAGCTATTGTCAACCCTGTCAGTGTCTATCAGTTTGACGGACAAAATGGTATCTAATTGTCTTTGCTGCTTCCAGTTCTTAGTATATTTTCCTTTGGGGAGTCGTTTTTTTTTTTTTTTTCCTTATAGAGTGTTCAACTGGGTTGATTTTTAGATAGTCTGTCATTTCAGTTTAGATTTCCTTTTAACATGAGGATTTAAATTTCTTAAAAAACATACTAATTGATTATATATATTTTGTATGATCTTTTTTGTTATTTTTACCACATTGTGCCCTTTTTACCTTTGGAATTTTTGTCTTCTTCATGTTCCATGTATATTTGAAAAAAGTGAAAAGAGCACAGGGTTTTATATATTTCTTTTCCATCAATGTATTATGCTTTTTTCCAAACAAAACACGCGATGCTTCTTTATTGCTTTCGTTCATTTTTAACTCTTGCTGTTGTTAGCTGATTTGATTTATTTGGCTTTGTTTTTTCCCCTAGTTATTTGAAAATTCTCTATCCTTTTTTTTTATTCTGCCAGTGATCTTGTGTTTTCATTAATTCTGTTTTCAACAGCACTTATCTTGTTCTCCTTTATTTTGGAAATCTTGTTGTTTTCATTTTTATTTTAAGGAAACTGCTCTTTTTTTGTTTTGTTTTCGGATTGCTCTTGACAGCTTACTTTTGTTTTGTCGATGTATTATCATCTTGCATCTCCCTGAGAATACT